CAGGATACCATCACCGGGTCCCCTGGTTATAACCATCCACACAGCTCGCAGTTCTGCCCATTGGCTGCTCTGACCATCCCCCTCGTCGAACCAGATCGTCTTGGTGGCAGGATGGTACGCTATTGTTCTCCACTTACTCGGGTTGCCCTTGCTGGACCCATCTGTGTACCAGGCATCTTCAGGGATCGGATATTCTCCCTCCTGAACGGTACTCTTCTCTGGTGGAGCGACCAGTGTTTCTTTTGGTGCATCACTCCCTGAAGTTTTGGAGACAAAAGTCAGTTGAAAGACTAGAATCACACAGAGCAGGAGGGGGAAGTGCAAGTGCTCACCCAGAGACAAAAAGAAGGTTTATTCAAGTATTACAGTACGACAACCAAGCATTGCAAATTCCCTAGTGAGGTGAAAATCTGCAGTCAGTACAGGAAGCCTGAGGTTTCAGCATTCACAACAGAAGCCAGCTAACAGAAGCAATGTGGGAGCTGTATCTGCCTCTGCCCCTTCTCCCAAGAAGCCCAACAGCAAACATTTGTGCTCAGCTGCTACTTTAAAACACCACAGTCACTGTTCCGACAGCCCTCCTGCTACCTCTTGCATCAGAGCTGTGCCTGCAGACCCCAGCGGAGGCCAGGGTGCTCTGACTTATCCAGAATAAGAAAAATGTGCAACAGCAGGAAGAGAAGTTTGCACCTGCAGCGCCCTGCCCATTTATCTCTTCTGCTATTTGGTGCACAATACATGACCCAGCCCCACCACTCCAATTTTTCTTTCTGGATTAGTAATAAGGCAAGTAAGGGGGAACCAAAGGCATCTGGGTGTGATGCCAGTCTGCTCCTGCAAAAAGCAGCTCACCTCATACTTGGGGCCAAGTGAGAATGAGGAACACCCCTGACCTGTTCCTGATCACAATGCAAGTGTGAGCCCTTTTCAGTCTGGAACCCTTTGGGCATTGCTTCTTTAAAAACAACAGCAGCAACAGCATCACTGAAAGCTCACTGAAGTCCACAGACCAAATCACCAGAACAGAAACAATGGGAGATGGCAGACGTCTGAAGTAGCTGCAACAGGAGCATTAGGGCTTCAGAAGGGTTGGTTAGTTTGGTTTGTCATAGCAGTTAAGAAAGCAGAGAAGTGAGAGAGTTTTATATTAACAAAGTTCAAAACAGACCTCAGAGCTCTGATTCTGGCTGGGAGCTCTGTGCACCATACCAGCACCAGCCATCTGTCTGCCCCTTGCAGCACTTTGCTCCAGCAAGCAGGCTGTGTACTTACTGCATTTTCTCTGCTATCTCAGACAACACAGAACAGCATCATTTTAACCCCCAACTCCATCTTGGATGCAACCCCTGGTTGTGTGGTTGTGTGCATGAAGTCCAACTCCTCATACTGTTCAGAGCAGGCAGTGCCCTGGATGATGCCACAAAGATCATCACTGTGACAAACCAACAGTAAATCAAAGCAACCGCTGCGTTTAGAGTTACCAACACAAGAGAGGTGCTCACCACACTCAAATCCCAGGCTGGTTTTGGGCACGCGTTCCCATCTTTGTCTTTCCCCAGGGTGAGCTTAACTCTCACCTCACTACTTATAGCTGTGAGGGCAAATTTATGCCACCTAGTTTTACACACCTAACAGTCAGCTAGCCAGGCCTCAGCTCTTAGCTGAGCTCTTAGCTCTTAGTCCATCGCAACAACGTGTTACACAAATGGGCCCATGCTCAGATTCTTACAATACAGACTTAATCTTCAGTGAATTGTGCT